CTCCTCACTCCTCACTCCTCCTCACTCCTCACTCCTCCTCACTCCTCCTCCTCACTCCTCCTCACTCCTCACTCCTCCTCACTCCTCCTCACTCCTCACTCCTCCTCACTCCTCCTCACTCCTCCTCACTCCTCCTCACTCCTCACTCCTCCTCACTCCTCACTCCTGCTCCTCCTCACTCCTCACTCCTGTTCCTCCTCACTCCTCACTCCTGCTCCTCCTCACTCCTCACTCCTGTCCTCACTCCTCCTCATCCTTGCTCCTCCTCATTCCTGCTCACGTGCAGGATGGGGTGATGTGGGGGTCTGGGCAGGGGCCTGGGGACCGGGGCGAAGTGGACTGACCTGTGGATTAGAGCCGGGTCCCCAGCCCCATCAGCCAGCCTGAAGCCAGTGGACAGAGACAGACAGCTGAAGTGGAGCCCCTTGGTGCAGGGCCCCACGTCCGCCCTTCACCCCCAAGTAGCCCCACACTTCCCACGTGCACGCAGGCCATGGGTATCACACGGGTCCCGGTGCCTGGATGCCCTGCGGAGGGCCCTGGTTATTGGGCAAGGGAGGGACAGGGAAGGCGGGAGAGGAGGAGGGGAGCAGAGGGAATAGGAAGAGGAAAGGCAGGGCGGCCTTTACCCACAGGGGCCACCAGATGCCGCCACAGCACCGCTCAGGACATGGATCCAGCCCTGAGTCAGTGAGCTCATGCTCAGGGCGTGGGTCCAGCACTTGGTAGCAGGACCGACTGTCCAGGCAGGTAGCAGGCCCCTTCCTGTGCAAGTCAGGAACCACTAGGTTGAAACTTTCAGCTGGATGTTCCCTGGATATTCACCAACTTTGTGTGAACACAGCATTGTGTGCTCTGGAGGGCGTGCAGAGGGGCCTGGCGCTCGAGAAGGCTGTGTCCCCCGGGCCCTGTTCATGTGTATTTTGCTTTGTCATAACGCATTGAGCTGTGTGTGTCCTGTTCTGGGCAGTTCAGTTTGCAGACCACTTTTATCATCACAAATGATCCACTGCGCTTGTGGCAGCTGACTGCATGCACCCAGGGTTTCTTAACCCTCAATAAGTACCCCCTGTGACTACAGCATGGTTACTCGGTAGACAGATAATAAATATTCAGGTTTTTCCCACATAAGAAAAACTAGCTTGCTTAATATCTTACCTAAGATTGTATCTTGGTTAAGATTAGCACAGAAGTGGAGTTTCAGAGGTTTAAAGTAAGTAAATCAGGTCTGGGTGGCTCCAGTGAGCCACTGGGGGGGGGGAGCACACTGTATGTGTGTGAGGGGGTGCTCTGTGTATGTGTGTGTGTTTCGTACTTTGTGCATAATCCATGCATGGCTTTGTGGTCAGTGTTAGTGAGAAGATAGGCAGAATGAGACATGGGAGTGTGTCTGTCTGTCTGTCTTGTTCCTCTCTGTCCCAGTCCTCCTAAGCTTTGTTTTACTCAACCTCACGATAAACTTGGAAAAGAAGCTACACAAGAATGATCATTACCATGCGCAGGTTCCGTCTCTCCTCATGAGGTCCCTTGGGCAGGTGTCATTTCCTGTGTGTTGTACACTGGGAAAACCTGTTACTTATTCATACACACTCCACGGTCTTCTGAAAGATGGGCCCAGCTGGGAACTGAGCCTTGGCGAAGGCTTCCCTCCACCTCCCTCCACTGCAGAGATTAAAGTCTGTCCCACCTGGATGGGCCACTCACACAGCCTGTGACTTGAGGAAGCGGTCTGCATTGTTGGCTGGTTTCTAATGCAGTGTAGTTGTAGCTAGTCTGTCCATCCAGTGGCATCGCTCTGCTCCTAACCCGTGTGATGTTCTGGTATCCGGTGAGGAGAATGTGTTCATGAAGGCCACCATCGCTGCATGGATGGCCCTGCGCCACAAGATGGCGCACTGCACTAAATTGTAAGCTGCTGTTAGGGTTGGTGGGGCGACTGGCCTCAGTGGGTCGTGGCTGGCCATGCCCGCTGGGGGTCCGCCCGCTCTGGACCTCAGCTCACGTGTGAGAGCCAGACCACCAACCCGTACAAGGACCCCTGGAATTCCAGAGAGTTCCCACCCCAGTACCCAGTGACTCCTGCAAGTGCTTACAGCTTGGGAGGTGGGAAAGCAGGTTGCAGGGCTTCATAGATGCCATCACCCCCGAGTCACAGGGTGAGCCCTGGCATGGCCGTGTGTCGGCCAGGGCGGGTCTCCCCTGACGTCTGTGAGTCTGTCCTCCCAGCATGCCCTTGCAGTTGGGCATGCAACCCACAGAGGAGCCTGGCTGACTTCTCACCCAGCCTGTGTGCCAGCAGCCAGCAGCAGAGGGGAGCAGCAAGTGACCCCAGAAGTCCAGTGACCTTCAGATGAAGGTCATTCTGGGACCTAGAAATGTCTGCCTGCTTATTCCAAAAGAAAGCGCGAAGGTGGCTAGCAGCAGCCAGTACAGTAGTGTCAAGTGAGATGAGAAGACTAAAATAGGTATATCCAACAAATCAAACCATGAAAAATAGGGTGTTCTGTGTGGTGGGTTATAAATGCCAGGGTCTACGTAATTACATGCTGAAGTTCTCACCCAGGATTCTGTAGGAAAGAGATCCAACCTCTTATAAGAGAGGCACCTGGAAGCACGCCGGCTCCTCCACAGCCTGCCCAGGAGGCCACACCGCGGGGAGCTGGGGGTGGCCCTCACCGCACCCCAGGCTGCCATTCCTTCCCTGACTCTGAGGAGTGACTCTTGGTTCTCTGTACTGCCCTGTGGTGTTTTGTGTAGCAGCCCAAGTGAGCTGAGATGTTAAAACATGTTTAGGAACCGCCATTGAAACCCCATGCCCATCACTCAGGCCTGTAATCCCAGCTGCTACTCCCAGAGGCTGAGATCCAAGGATCACAGTTCAAAGAATAGGCCATGAGATTCTTATCTCCAATTAACTACCAAGGGGGGAAAAAAACCAAATAGAAGTAGAGCTGTGGCTCAAGTGGTAGAAGGCTAGCCTTGGGGATAAAAGCTCAGGGGCAGGCCCTGAGTTCAAATACCAAAACAGGCACTAAAGCAAAACTGCAGTCTAAGTATAAAATTACCTTGGCCTACACTGCCTGTGTCCTTCTGAAAAGGCCAGCATGTGGAGGGGGAAACAATCCCAGCGGAAATCATGCAACAGGTTGTCTCGTGACTGCAAACCCCAGCCCTCCCCCAGCCCTGCAGTGTGCGGTCTACTTTAGGAGTTTCTACTGGCTGACAAGCTTAAGTGGAGGGTTTCCGGACGGGGGAGGAGGAGAGAGAGAGGGGTTGCAAGGACCAGTGAGTCCCAGCCTGTCCGGTCTGTACTGCGGTGGCAGTGCGTGCATGGCCCAGGCAGCTGCACTTTCTGGCCTCCGGTGCTGCCAAAGTCCCTGTGGCTGCCATCTTGAAGCTCATCGTTTCTCACTTCCAATTGCACCGGGCCAGGATTCTGACCCCAGGTGAGATGAGGGCAGCCTGGGCTGATGCCACTGGGGCCCCCAGTTGCTGCGAGTTTGCAGCACCTGTGGGGTCAGTCAGGCGTCCCAGGAAGCCTGGGCCTCCATGGCTCAGGGGGCTGAGCAAGGCCACGCTGTGGGAAGAACGTAAGTTGTTTTCCTCTTGGTATGTTCTGTGTGTGTGTGTGTGTGTGTGTGTGTGTGTGTGTGATTTCTGTAGTTTCAGCTTTTTTTTTTTTTTTTTGACCAGGCTGCAAACATCCATCCTCTTTGGAGTCTGTTGAATCTCTTGGCCATGGAGATGGTTTTCAGCTAGGCTGGGAAGTTTTTGGTCAGTGTGTCCTCCAGTATTTTTTCCTGCTGATTTTCTCTCTGCTGGTGCTCCTGCCTGCATGGTTAGCACGCATGTAGTAGCTGGTGTTTCTCTGGAGCGCTGTTCCTTTGCATTCTTCTCTCCTGTCCACTACACAATCTGTATTCCGCTCGTCCGCTCTCTGCTTCTTTGGCTCAAGCTTGCCACCAAGTCCTCCTGGTGAACTTTCCATTTTCGCCTGCATGTTTTCTGCACTCTTTCCCCCCATTTCTCTCTGTGCTGACA